CACGTAAATAGGGTAATTTAGATCACGCGTTTTAGTGAAATGGCCTGTTGAGACTGTATCGCAGAGCCCTCGGGTTAGGGCGATATAATTCACCACAAATCCTACACCTTCATACTATGTCACACACTGCGGGTAGATAAGGCCAATAAATTGATTTGATTTGTGGGGTTTAACACCCCAAAACCACCATATGATTATGAGAGACGCCGTAGTGGAGGGCTCCGGAAATTTCGACCACCTGGGGTTCTTTAACGTGCGCCCGAATCTGAGCACACGGCCCTACGACATTTCCGCCTCCATCGCAAATGCAGCCGCTGCAGCCGGGATTTGAACCCGCGACCTGCGAGTCAGCAGCCGAGTACCTTAGCACTAGACCACCGCGGCGGGGCAGATAAGGCCAATAAAGATGTCGGAACATATAAAAATGAAATGCGAACGTCTTCTGAGAGTTCGGGCGATTAATGTGTAATGTCAAGCGCGTAGCCTCGGATCCATGTAAGGTTTCACATCGCACAACTATAGATAACAAAAATGATGCATGCGATTTCGCTACACAACGTCAAGCCTCCATCGCTGCCTCCAGTGGCAAACGGTCAGGAGGACAGTCAAGTCTATACGTCACCATCAATTTATCTCTCTCTCGGTCCTAAAACAAAAATAGCAGGGCAGTTATTGCGACCGTTGCCCGAGGTGACACTTTATTATAAATGACAGCACCGAAAATGTTTGCCCTTGACGGCAACAACAATTTCGTGATATCCGATATCTGAATTCAAATATTTCCGCTATCTGGGACATGGAAAGCAAGACATTTTTTTTTTACTGTTAGATTTTCGGCCGCGTACATTATACGTAAACGCGATGCTAAATAGAAGCTGGATAACCACAGAAAAACGCCAAGGTTTTCTATGCGGTTTACGCGCTTTGTCAAGCTGTACTATTCACAGGTTTTTGGCCGTGTATACAGAAGTTCAGCGTTATATTTGCTTGTGAAAAATAAACACTCACTGGCATTTGTGAAAAATAAACACTCACTGGCATACTACCACTCTACTGCAATGACTTTGCGCTGGTCACTATCATCGGTACTGGAGTCGAATCGCGCGAGCGCGCACACACACATACACACACACACACACACACACACACACACACACACACACACACACACACACACAGCACGGAAGAAACGAACAAACAAAAGCACGCAAGTGAGAACGTACCACGCAAGATGTAATGATGGAACGCAAAGTGGGCTGTTGGTGGTGGAGTGTGTAGAGGTATGAAGGGGGAGATGGCGGGTGGACGTCTCCAGTGCCTTTTTCCTCGCACCTCGAGGAAGACGGTAAACGCTGCCGCGCGCAGAGGAAGAACATCGCCACCGCTGGCGCAATGAGGCAGAGGAAGAAGGGGAGGGGCTTCGGTTGTTACCGCATCCCGGGAGCCGATTGCCAGGCGGCCCGTTCCAAATGAATCGGTTCGACCTCGGCACCAGAAGAAGGGAGCGTCCGAGCTGTAATCACACACGACAGTGGGCCCTGAGAGAGATCGCAACGCGGCCGAGGGGGGAGCCACCTACCTATCTATACCGCGGCTTCTGTGGGCACCCAGAAGGAGGGAAGCCCCGGATGGAGAAAGAGGGGTACACACGCCCAAGATTCGAAGTGCGCGCGGAAAACCTCCGATGGTGGCATAGCAGCCGCCTCGACCGTCTTCCTCGTTGGCATCGTTTGTATGCATTAGGAATACGAACTATTCGAACCAAAAATGAACTAGAAACGAACTTGGGGGATAAAATAGGACCGAGATAGACGCACTGTCACTAACGCCTCTGAAGAAAACATTCGCTATGTTTGAACGCGTGCGTTCGCGTCGCTTTAGAATGAAATCGATTATCCGGGCCAACCATACGGGGACATTCAATTAGAGAGCCCCGAACACACAGCAAGGCTCGCACGTCCGTTGATACACGTACGGCTGCAACCAGTGCCGAGGAGGGAAACAAACAAACAAAACAAAAACACGGGTGCGTAACTCTCATCCACCGAGAGTGCGCGCCCGGAGCTGCAACCAACCGAAGGAACAATTTGTCTCTGCCAAGAGCGCGAGGACCTGAGCTTCTCGAGCAAAGCACTTTTACGAGCGGGCGTTTTTCCGCGGTTTCACTCATTCTCCCATACTTCTGCCTCTCTTCCTAGTTCTTTTGTGCCCGCTGCGCAAGTGAACTCGTTGAAATAAAGAAACAAGGGCCTCGTATACACTGCGAGTTTCAGCGGAGGCGAACCACCGCAGTAACGCGCCTTCACGTATGACAACAAAATGGCGAACCGAGCGAGTATTAACAGAGAGAGATAGATGGATGAGATGCGAAAGGCGGGCACGTTAAATGGATGATAAATATCTAGTTCGCCACCCTACACTGGGGATGCGGAGAACGGAAAGTGAAGAAGACAAGCGCACAGCAAGGGAGAGTGAGAGTGTTTCTTAAAAGCACGCCTGTGTCAGAGCCGTTCAACGAGCCTTGTTGATCGCAGAACGCTCATTGGCGCCTTCGATTCCTTTCCTATGGAAGGATCGCATCCTTCAAGATACGGAAATTTCGAAAACGCTCAGAGATCAAGACGACACACCAACAGTGTAAGAGCAGCAGCACCAATTTTTGCTCCCCTCGTGGACTTTTTTTTTTTTTTCATGATAACGGCCATTCGTCAAGTTAGGCATGATTTCCGCTAATACAAGGCTGCAGGTGTTCTTTCACTGCAGTATTTTTAGCACGACATTTCAAAACAAAGAAGCAGTAGGCGACAGCGTAGGAGGACGAAAGATAGGAAATGGAGAGATGTAAACAGACGCACGTTCGGTTTGCTACCCTGCAGTGGAGGAAAGGGTTTTAAAGAATAAATATGGGAAGGTGGAGCTATCAGTGTGGGACAACTGCGCCTGTTCATTAGACGCCTACAGGTTATCAATTAGCCAAGTCTATTTTAGAAACCGACGCGTAGTGTCACGGTTCCAGGAACCAATTTTCTGAAAAGAACTTCAACGAGTTTGTTTAGAAACGTGTCGATCGTCTATGGCGTAAGCTTGCGTGGATGTTAGGCGAGGGAGCAAGGAAGCGAGCATCTCAAAGCTCCTCGGTCGACTGATCCGCACAGTTACAGCAGGCATGAAGGGATGGAGAGGGCTGCGAAGGACACACTAGATAGGCGAAAACAATGACGGATGGCCGTGTCTAGATGCAGCCTTACTATATAATGCTACCGCAATCGTGCCTTAATATGAGCATAACCAGCTCTTCTGCAACATTCTCGAAAAATGGATTGATGCAGTACAAAAATTTTCGGAGGCGTCTCTTGCGTGTAATTGATGAGCGTATTTTGGGGCTGCATGCTCGTACCGAGTAACAGCACGCAACAAATGGTGGACCATGAAAGCTATTCGAGCATGGTCGTCGAACTGTGAGGAACTGAATGTCTGAGGTTGCGTGTGAAAGTTCAGCGACGTATGCACGGGGGCTGCGCGAGAAAATGAGAGACGAATGGGATTTACTGAAGCAGAATGTTTACACGAGTGTTCTTCCTGCTCGTGCACCCAAATCGTTCTTATTTATGTCTCTTCACCAAATTATAACAATCCAGGGTAAAAAAAAAAAAAAAACGAGGGGAGTCATGCAAAAACCGGCTTAGCGGAAGTATCAGCATTGTTTTTGTCGCACCAATATGGCTTCAAGCGAGAGAAGCCAAAGACAAAGATTACTTAAAAACTACGCGCTCATAAAACTGAGATGCATACAGGTTAATCCCTTATCGATCAGATGCATCGATGGTGCAGTGGCTAGTTCTCGACGACTACAATACGCTGGTACATTCCGCACGCATCAATTCGCTTTATATGTACAATAACATCACAACGCGTGTGTGATTATATCGTGAGAAACATTCGGTCAACATATTAATTTGTTATCAGCAAGCCCAACTACAACTTGACAGTAAGTATTAATAGAGTGAGCTCCCAGTTGATTGCTCAGGCGCAGGGCTTGCACAATAAAATCCATAAACGGTAAACACGAACGTAACGATACACCCATTCATGTGTGCAACTGAAAGATCTTCGAGGAGAAGCTTACAAATGCTTACTGCAAATGTATTGCTAAAGGACAAGTAGGGAACTCAGACATGTATCCATCCATGCCATGGCACTAAACGAAGTTTGCAGACAGTGCATTTGGGAAAGCAATGCATGGAACGAAAACGCTGCAATCTAGGAACAGCGCAGGTCTATGCATCGCAGGACCAGTGGCATGCACAGAAAATATTTAGAGCACCGCAGCCGCACACATGCGCGGATGACGGCGCAAGTAAGCGAAAGTAGCTGCGGGAACATTGCAAGGGAGTGATGTTCCCAGTGGCGCAGACGAAATGAAAGACCTTAACAGAGAAACAAAACATATGGCTGGAAGGGTGGAAAGGCCAAAGCTACATAGTTGGAAATGCGATGCGTTCGAGAAATGTTTTCGGTGCTAGCTCCTAACTGTCCATCCTCCATGCTAGTATACCGACATGGCCCGCTCGTTCTTTTTTTTTTTTTTTAGACTGCAGGAATCTCAAACGTATTTTTTTCTCTTTCCTAGCTAATATTCTGGCAGTCGAGAAGCGTAAGCCAACTACTCAATCTCTACTTGAAAACTTGTGCGTTCGCGCAGATTTGAGTCAGCGGAACTTTCGAGACGCCATCGCTGCGCGAAGCGAGGAGAAAAGTAACGATGACGAACATTCTGTGTCCCGCACACACAGTTAAGGGAAACTACGAATAACAAACACCACACTTCTCGGTCTGAAAGCATCCTTCGCACATAGCTGCTTCAAAACACGACGGTCGCCACACTTTGCAGTCATCCACCGGAGTTCAGAAGCGGCCTGTTGCCGGCAAAGTGCGGCCAAGATCGAAAGGCAAAAAAACTAGAAGGAAGCGGGACAAATGCATGTTCGCACACAACTCACCTGTCATCGTAGGCGAAGTCCGCGTCCAGCGTGTTCCAGTAAAGCAGACAGGCCCATCCGGAGACGAGCGCCACGGCGCCGTAGTAGTCCATGTTGCTCAGTTTGCGACCGTGCCGCGACTGCTGCTCACGAGCCTGGTGCGCCGCTGCCGCCGCCGGCTGATGCTGGTGCCCTCCGCCAGGTGCCGCCGCCTCCCTCCGCGCATGCGCACGCAGCACGCTGCGGCCCGTCATGGATCGGCCAATGGGCGCCCCCCTCGGGCTGTGCACGAAAGACGAAAGAAGACGACAGGGCATGAGTGCTGCGCGCACTTTTCTCTTGCGTTCTTTTCGCGCGTTTCCCTTCTTACATTCATTCTTTTCTCTTTATCGCTTTTAGTGCCTCCAAAAGAGCGTGCACGAGGACGCGCGCGCCAAGCACAAACCGCCGCCGCCGTCGCGGTGGTGTGGTGGTGGCGGCGGCGGCGGGGAAGTCGAAAATTGGCGCCCAAAGTAGGGCCTGTCCTTTCCGGACCAGCCTCAGAGGCGCCGAAGAAACGACGGTACCCCCCCCCCCCCCTTTTTTTTTTACTTCGGCCCACTACTGGCCTCTCCGAAGAAAGACCACGCGCGCACGAAAAGCCCTTTCGAGGAAAGCAGCGTTTTGTAGGCACCGCCGGAAGGGGCCAACAGGGGTGGCGGAGGGAGGAAAAACATGCATGCATGGGTGAAGGAACGGCAGAAAGATCATCGACGACGCGCCGTTGCAACTCGAAGGAGCAACGTTCGTCTAGCGGTGTTGGCGTTTGTCTCCACAGCATCAGCTAGTGTGCGAAGTTTATTTTAACGGAACGACGATGCAACCAACCGCGAGTGTCCACGAAGTTGTGTTCTGACACACTGGAAGCGTGAGGAAAACAAATGAAAGTAGGCTGGTCGTGAACTTTCGACACGTTCTCATAATAGGCTAGGGTGCGGCTATACTCAGAATTGCGTTTGCTCTTCTTGTTCACCTCGAAAAGTGCGCGCATCGGAAAAGGGGAGGAGGGAGATGGAGGGGAATAACTCGGGTTTTAATAGATACTAACGTAGTCGTTACATGTAAGCGTTAATCTTTGCTTCAGAGTCCTGTTAGATTTACTGTAAATATTCGGACTTTCAAATTGAGATTGAACATATTTTGATGCGAAACAGCAGAGCGAAGAACGTTACAGAAGAGTCGTATAAGCATGAAGCTAACAAGAAAATATGAAAATGTCTTCGAAGTCCTCGATAATTAGGGACAAAGAGGGAGGAACGAGTTACGTTAAGGTCAAGTGTCCCGGCCGTTCGTTCTGTTCTCTGTTTGATTAGGCTTCTAAAATAATAATAAAGATAATCCTCCCTGTTATCAGTGAACATTACAAACTGCTACATTGGTTGTATTTATGCACTGAGCTCCGTCAGCATGCTGGGTTACAATTCACGTCAAGGTAAGTACCACAACGTTTTGTGGATTCGGTCTTCTGCACGGGATTCCCGCTCGAATCTGAATTCAGAGTCAACGAGCATGTCAAAACAGATGCGTACAGAATGACCTTGGCGATCGCATTCAGCGCTTCAAGGAAGTATATTACACTTATTAATAATTACATTTCACTTCGCGTAATAAAGAGATAATGCAACGCCATATAGAAGGATGGGAAATTTAATCAGCTTCTGGCTGGTTCACTACCTCACACTGGGAGAGGGTGATGCGAGCAAGGAATGGAAAAAAAGAAAAGAAGGAAGAAAAATAAACAGAGAGAAAGTGAACTAGTGACGAGTGCACACACGTGCACGATAGTGCTCATTGCACAGCTACGTATGGTAGCAGAGATAAGTTGTCTTTAAAAGCGTAGCAAGGCTCCACCCCTTGATGTTAACTAAAAAAAAAGCTTAAGAAACCAAAATAGCTTAGTCTATGCGCATACAGTTTTCTTGGTATGTTCCGTGCATGGTGGCAAGAGAGCTGAAGTTCGGAAGCCAGAGGTATTCAAGACGAATAACATAGGACAGCATGGTGTGTACGACAGCGCCTTGCTGTACAGTGACCGTTACAAATAAGGACTTCAGTGCTTGTTCCTGTCTGTCCTGGATGGTGTTCCGAGATGCCGCAGGACCGGAAAGCATTCCAAACGTCTATAGGAAAAGCTGAAACAGTAAATGGTTTCAACGACGGAGGTTCAAACACGTTTACAAAAGGGAACAAAGAATAGGAGAGGTGTGGGGCGGGAGAGGGATAGGATAAGCACCGGAGGTGTAGGCAGAGGACCGAACAGGCAGGAATAGACGCGCGGTGGACTAAAAACAGAGGGTTGGCTCAGGAAGCGACGTCGAGAAAGCCTGGCATTTTGTCGGTCGGCTTCGCCGTTTCCCCCGCCGAAAGGAAACCGCAGACGGTCGCAGTGGCGCCGGTGGCCCATTAGCCGATCACCGGCCGCCTGTTGCCGGCGTGCGTGGTCGGTCGCCGCCACTAGGGTCCGCTGCAGGCGAAAAACACGTGTCCGAGGAGCGACGAGGGGGCGTGTGCCCGCCTCATGGCCCGCGGTGGGCCATCGCGACAAATTTCCACTCCCCATTTCTCTCTCCCATCCACTCCAGCATTTGCACGCCTGACGCTGCCACTTTCGCTCCTGACGAGCGTGTAATGTTTCTTTAAAGGGGACCCTTTGAGAGACAAACGATTTTTTCTCGTATCGGCGAATTTCTCTTTCGCAGTGCCGAAATCACCACTCTCGGCGCTCGAAGACGCTTGGTAGGCGATAAAACGTGCAAGAAAAGAACACGAAGGTGGCGACGCCACCGTGGAGTACCCACACCAATCCGAACGCTGTGACGTCGTAAAATTTAACGGCGTCTACTGGGGCCTACGTGGCTCCTAATCGGTAAAGACTAACTGAGATGTCCTCTGAGATGTCCTCGAGGTGGCCAGAGACTTAACGCAACAAGCTCACATGGATTTCACTGAGCCAATGTCACCAGAATGTCGACGCGAAATCGAAGAACGAAATGTGTAACCTTGGTTTTCCCCTCTATTAATATGCGCGGGATGGCACAGTTGACGAGATTCATGCTTTTAAAGGACGGTTCATTGATCTCAGCCAATATACAGATTTCATTTGGTATGTTGATCAAAAGTTGTTAAACGATTCAGAGTACTTGGTATTCTACTATGGAAGAGCAAAAAGCATTCACGTGTGCCTCACATTTCATGTGGCCGTCAAAGAGAAATATACTTTCGTAAAGAGTTGCCCCTCGAGCCTTTGTGTTGAGGATAAGTTGCTAACTATTTAGAGTACTTGGTACTCCACTACGGGAGAGCAAATAGCAGTCCCGTCAAGGGAGGAACAATTGCAGCAGCAGCTTAATATGTCTAGGATGTCCATGCTCGTTTCTACTAGTTAGTCCAAACATCTATAATAGCCACCTCAGAAGAACCTTAAACACCCAAGCTTGGCATCAATTGTTTTTTCAGACAAAAAATCCATTTATTTGTGCTATTCTCCACATCGGCTCTACAACGTGTCCCGCTGAGGATGTTTATTGCGCTACCGCGAAAATCAGCGAAGTCCGACTAGAAAGTGTTGTCTTTCTGCACTTGTTTTGCACAAAGTGTACACATTCATGTGATATAGATGTACTCTTTTTGTGGAAGCATGGGTTTGCAGCCTAGTGGTAAAGACACTCGCTTTCGGAGCATGAGGGTACGGGTTCAAACTCCAGCATGTAAAACAAAAAAAAAAATGTTGCTTTGTATATAAGACATTATTGGGTACCGCCACCGTGCTGCGCGTAATACCCCTGACACGGCACCACGGACCGTTATCTCCCTCGTCCTCAAACGAAGATCGTCAGTCAGGCCACCCTTACCCAACGAGTAGGAGCGTTTCGAAGCGTCAAGACCCTTCGGCGAAACGAGTACTCTTCCCCAGCGTCTAGAGGTCAGAAAAATTCGAGCACAGGGCCGCATAAAGAAAAATTTTGCAATCGTTCTTTCATTGCAGTACTCTTCACGCGTGTTCTTACATATTTACGCCCGCAAGTTCATTACTCTAACACCAAGCCTCACTCCGGCTCGCACTGTGCCTCGCGAGTCGGCCGCCGCGCCATGAAAATTTCGTCATGCTGTGTTGTGTCGTCGTGTGTCACTCATGCTGAAACACAAATGTGCGCTCACGAGCAGGAACCAGACTTTACACGGCATGAACACAGCAACAAACACTAAAGCACATGGGCCAGCGCAGACACCGTACTTTAGCGAATTCGTTTTTATTTGAAAATATTTTTATGGTTTGTTAACCTATTACCTCCTTAATAGTGTTTTTTTTAAAAACCTTAGAACGAGGATTCACAAAAAAAATCAATAGCGATGAAACTAGAATACATTTCCGAAAATCAAACAGCGCCAGCTGAGCCCCCTCGGGCCAACTGTTACAACCCGTTCATTGCCGTGTGACACTGCCACAACTCCTTCTCCGTCGAACCACCTAGGGGAGATTTACGTTGATGGTGTTCAACGGAGTTTAGTGGTGGCCGTGTGACAGGGGTATAAGCTCGGCTGCAGCCCCCTACTGGAGTGTTCGCTCTTTAAGTATGTTTCGCTATGAGGCAGCGTCGACAAAAAATTACGTCGTGGTGATCGGGGACGAATTGTGGACAACGGTTGGCAGCGTTTATGTTAAAAACAAATGTTTAATGATTACGAGTACTTTGTACCCATCTATTCTAACATCATGGTATGTGGGGTTTAACGTCCCAAAACCACCATATGATTATGAGAGACGCCGTAGTGGAGGGCTCCGGAAATTTCGACCACCTGGGGTTCTTTAACGTGCACCCAAATCTGAGCACACGGGCCTACGACATTTCCGCCTCCCATCGGAAATGCAGCCGCCGCAGCCATGCTAACATAATTAAGATGATGTTAGCATTGGAAGAATGCTAACATCATCTTAATACATAAGAAAGGAGATGACAAGGACTTGAAGAATTACAGGCTGATCAGCTTGCTCTCTGTAGTATACAAGCTATTTACAAAGATAATTGCTAACAGAGTAAAGAAAACATTAGAATTCAATCAAACCAAAGGAACAAGCAGGATTTAGAACAGGCTACTCAACAATCGACCACATTTATACTATCAATCAGGTAATAGAGAAATGCTCAGAATATAACCAACCACTATACATAGCCTTCATAGATTACGAGGCGTTTAATTCAGTAGAAATATCAGCCGTCAT